ATAAATTATCAAAGCATAGTCAATCTTGCTTAACACAAGTATTTTTGGTAAGATAAACAATAGTGTGAATATGCGCACGGCTTCTCCAAACAACGTACTGTATGAAATTTACCCTTTTTAAAATAGAGTTTTTTAATCGAAGACAGTGTGCTTTCCAACGATATTTGTTGAGAAAAGTGAGCCCGAGATAATGCAGTGTCGGCACATTTAGTACTGGTAAGTCATTAATATGCATCAGTAGATTTCCTGCATCGCAAATCTGCTTTCGACAAATGTGCATTTTTTTAGATTTTTGTAAGGAAATTTTAGCCCCCGACGAGTTTGCCCACGCGGAGATCTCTCGTCCAATAATTTTGAGGGTGTTGATTGCTTTCGTGTTGTCTTTTTCTTTTGTAAAAATGTATACACCGTCCGCGTAGAGACAATGTTCCACTCTTGGTACACGGCAAAGAATTTTGCTAATTTCGTTGAAGGCGATCTGGAAAAATATGACAGAGAGAGGAGATTCTTGTGGAATGCCATTCATTAACGGAAAGGAATCAGAAAGATAATTGTTGATTCTTACTTTGAACCGCCGATGCGACATGAATGATTTAATGTAGTTGAAGAATTTCTGTCCAACATTCTATGATTTTAAGAGTCTTAAAATAACATGAAGACCAACTCTGTCAAATGCTTTTTAAAAATCAATTGAGAGAATTGTTACGTGATTTCATTCGGAAATTGCTTTGCTTGTGAAATAATCAATATGTAACAGAGCGTCGGTGCACCCTCTACCCCGCTTGACACCAACTTTTGCTTTGTTATCAGGTTCTTGGACTCAAGAAACCAAGATAATCTAATTTTTTCCAATACCTTTGAGAGGCAAGATAAAAGAGAGATTGGGCGATAATCCGATGCGATGGAGACATTTTTAGACTTTGGAATTGGAACAACTGCTGCCAGTTTCCACATGTAGGATATGTGGCCAGCCAAAAATACCATATTATATAGGTCCAGTAACTTCTTTTTACTTGAATTAGACACCGCACTGATCACTTGGTAGGAGATGCGGTCTAGACCAGGTGTCTTCCTCTTCGATTTGGAGAGACAACTTTCAAGTTTTAAGGTAGATCTGCAATTTTCTGTCAATACAATTTGAAAGAGTAATTGGAGTCCTTTTATTTTCGATGAAAGCACTGGAAAAGTTGCTGTCAGAGGGGTACTCGCACCACATTTGTCCAAAGTAATTAGAAATATCATGTGCGTCAGTTAAACTTCCATTGGGAGTGCAGATGGCAGAAATTTCGTTCAGGTTTGAAGTCCCATTGAGTCTGTTGATTTTGTTCCAGACAACTTTCATTGATGTATTTCTGTGAATTCCTCTCGAAAAAAGTTCGAAACTAAGTGCCTTTGATTTTCGTAATTCCTTCCCGAATAAAGCATTGGCCTTTTTGTATAATAACAAGTGATCATGATCAGGACATCTCTTAAAGCGGTGCCATAGATCCATTTTATTTTTCCCTAAAAACGAAAGCGTGTTGAGGAATAGAAAGATGAGCAGCCGTGCGAATCGCTTTAGTCATAATAGCAGCATCATAGTTGCAGTTCCCGTTAAATGGCTTTGAATTCAGAAATGACTCGGCCTGTTTGGAGTAATTAATCCAATCCGCTTTATATAGGAGGAATTTGGCCTGTTTTGCTGGAGTAGCAGAGCACATTGAAAGTTTAAGATCGATTATGATTGGAAAGTGATCACTATTATGTAGATCATCAGAAATAGACCAGGAAACCAAAGGAAGAAGTGACGGAGAGCAACATGTTAAATCAATATGTGAAAAAGTGTGATGAGTTGAAAAGTGCGTTGGTTTTCCATCATTTAAAATACAGAGATTGCTTTGAATGAAGGCCTTTTCTGTGTTGTCACTGTTGAGCCCCAGATGGTATTCCAGCTGTTAAAGTTGCCGCATATAATTAATGGGGGGGAAAGAACGGAGAATAAATTGTGGAGTTCTTGCTGAGAAAATGATTGCGAAGGTGGAATATAGAGCGAAAGCACTGTAAATTTTATGTTTAACATTACTTGTATCGCCACGGCTTGTATATTAGAGCTTAAATCTATGCGTTTGTGAGGTATACTTGATTTTATAAAAACATCAACTCCTTGTTTGGAATATAAATTTTGATCAGCATTGGTGAAATATCCAGTACATGATTTGGGTGGAATGGGATTAAAGAGGTTCTACAATGGGTCTCTTGAAGCGATATAAAGGTTGGACTAAAATCACTTACGAGTTTACAGAGTCCATCAAAATTATTAAGAAGTTTCTTAATGTTCCATTCTAAAATTTTAAAAACTTTATTTAATTGTAGAGACATGGAGTGGAAAGTAAGTTAAGTTGACATGTCAGCGTCTCCGTCGAAAATGTCACTATAAGGATTTTGCGTGAATAATTTGCTCTTACCAGCAGAATAATCTGTACTTAGGTGTTTGCGTAAATTTGAAGTCCAACGAGCGGGCACACGTGAATGATTTGAAATTGAAGGTTGATTGAGGGATGGAAGATTGGATTCATTATAGCTAGTAATTTGTTGAGTAGAGTTGAGAACTGGTGATTCTGGAGGATTTAGTTTATTAGATTTTGGCATATGTGTTGTTGTTTTAATTTTTTATTATTATTATTATTTTAATTTTAGACTAATGAATTGAATTCTTAGACTAAAAAAAGACAAAGCACTAGCAACACAGGCTATCGGCTCTTTAATTTTTTAAATATTTGCTGTTGTTTTGAAAGCAAACATAATTTCTCTGCTTTTTTGAATTTCCGTCACTCATAAGCTCATAAGCTTCAAGCAACTGCCAAAATAAAATCGGTTGCGAAGACTCATTATCAATTAGTCGGAAATATTTGTCAGAAGAATTTCCCTAGAATTTTTTCACATCTTTACGAAAGCTATTGCGTTATGAGCTGCAAAAAAATATACATGAAAACCGGTTTAATGTAATAGAAAGAAAAGAAAGAAAATCTGAAAGTATCTAATAATCTAGTAATGACCGTTTAGCAAAGTATCTATTCGACGAAGCTGGCGAAAATTTTGGGCCGGATGGCCGCAGCTTCTGATCCCTTTAAAATAGCGTGTGTGAGTTCAATGTGGTTGAGTTTGCCGCAACAGCTGTCTTTTATGGGAAGAGATGGCCATTTGCCAAATTTTTCGACAAAATTCGCAAAATAGTACTACTTCGAAATTCTAAATTTACTTCAGCAAACAAATTTATACTTGGTTTTTATCAACTATTCGCAACTAATTAAACTTCTAATTTAACTTAACTTCTTTTTGCTACCAAAGCAGCGGCAAACAAATGAAAGATAAACTGATTTCACTAAAAGTAAGTCAAAAAGGAAAAAGGAATAGAACATACTTCACTTCTTTTTTTTCTTTACTTTTACAGGTTTTGGAAGTTTTTTAATAATTGGCCGTTTTATCAGAAAATGGCTTTCTTAACAAAAATTGTCCGTTTGTTAACTAATTATCAGCATCAATTGTATTCAAATATGATTTGAAAGAGTATTTTCTCCTTCTTGTTTACTTATTTTACTTGCACGACAAAACAAAATCTTTGTTGTATTCTGACAATAGCGAAAGTTAGGATAAGTTGTAATACATTAAAACATATTTGATAGATGTAATTTCATTAACTAATTGTCAAGCGTAAGCAAAGTAAAGTAAGATAATTTTGTGCAATGGCACATTTCTAGCCTGAATCTTCAATCAGTATTAAATGTCATAAATTATTTATTTCGGAACCCTTCCTTTGTTAACCCCGTTGTTAGGTAAGTATCATTAAGACGTTCATCATCATTTAAAGTCGGCTTATAGTCTTTATTCAAGAAGCTATGTTCCAAAATATAGTGTGGTATCAGATTTGTGTTTACATTTACAAATGCAATATCAGGGATTGTCAGCCATCGTTAGGAGTTCAGCGAAAATCTCCTGAGGTGCAAGTCAGTAGAGTCGACAGGAAAAGAACAGAAAAAGTCATACCTTAATAGTTTTTTTAAAAGATAATTTTATAGATGAAATGTAATTTACTCATTATATGAAGAATGAATGAAGAATTTCGCAATAGAGGAAGCGCTTTCTCCTCATCTTTTCAATATATTGATCTGATTGCTTCACATGACTGATAAAGCAAACAGCAATGAGTTCTTAATTAATGGTTTGTGAAGGAATCTTAAATAATTGATAAAAGAAATATTTTTAGAAAATAAGAATAATTTACTATTATTTTTTACTTTGATCAATCCATATATATGTTTCTAGAATAAGATGCAAACCCAATTTTTTTAAAGTTTTAATTTCGGTTTTTTTCTTTTTTTTTTAACAAAAAATTTTCATATTTTAATTATTATTAGAACTTAAAAAAAAACTAGTTTTCTCTGTGTATTTATAAATAAGAGCATGTATGTGTTTGATGCGTTATTTGAAGAAATAATTATGTGATATTAATCTTCTGCGTTAAAGCAGCGAGAATTTGTCTCCGTACAGCAGCATAAGAAAAAAGAATGTCGAATTTAATATGCCGGCACACACCGCAATGTTGTATTGCCCCAAATATGAATTGTAGATTGTCTCTTCGTATATATATATATATATTTTTTATTATTATGCATCTTCTAATTCCCTTGTCATTATTAAGGAGACAACAATGAGATTCTAAGGAAAACTATGCGAATCTCTGAAGAGTCTCCTTGTTAAAAATAAAATACATGAAGTTTTAAAAATCACTTATCTGTCAATGTTGAAGTCAAAATTGAATAATGACATTGATACACTAAACTATTTATTATTTATTTAAATGTTAAACAATTGTGTGGTTATTTAAATATTAAACAAATTATTTATATTTGAAATGTTATAATTTAATATTTTGGTACTATAACAACAATTTGTTGCTTATGAGTATTTTCATTCATTTCACATTAACAACATAAATTTATTAGAAACAACCCTGGGCTGAACATATGGTACTTGCATCTAAACATTGGAACTGACTTATTTAAAAAAGGATAACAAAAAGTTTCTACCAAATATATTTATACATATGTATTAATATATATTCTTAAAAGGCCTAACCCAATCACCTTAAGCGAATAAAAAAAATGGCTACAAATGAGCATAAAAACTTAGCAAATATAGTGAAATCGTTTCATGAATCCTTACGTCATCTATGTCAACAGCAAGGAGCACAAGAAGCTTGGAAAAAACATGTAAAACAACGGGGTCGTCTAAAAGAATACGCTACTGCAATGCACAAGTTGGCACAAATTTGGGAGGACAAGGACAACACAAGTAAAGAGGGCTTAGAAGCAAGAAGTCGTATTAAATGGACGATTGAGTTTTGTTTAGCGTATTTCTACACAGAACTTATTTATTTGGAGAAAAGGTCACGGGAACAACGCTTATTGGATTCTTGGACAGGATTTGATTGCTCGCAATGTCGATATATGAAGAATGTGCCAGAAAAGATAAAAGTCTTGGATGTTGGTAGTTGCTTTAATCCATTTGCTAAAGTACCATATTTTGAAGTGACAGCTGTTGACTTGTGTCCAGCTACTGATGATGTTCTACAAACTGATTTCCTAAATGTTCAAGTTAAGTCAATGGAAAATCCTAAAGTTGGGTTGGAAAATAATACAGTGACCTATTTACCGACTATATATTACGAATGTGTTGTGTTCAGTTTATTGCTCGAATATATGCCAAGTTCGGAGCAGCGCATCAATTGCTGCAGCAAGGCTTATGAACTCTTAAGACCAGAGGGCATCTTAATTATAATAACGCCTGACAGTGACCACGTCGGGAGAAACGCCGCTCTAATGAAGAACTGGCGTTACACCTTAAACTGTTTGGGTTTTATGCGTATACGTTTCGAAAAATTACCACATATTACATGCTTGGTTTTCCGGAAAGCAATTGATCCCCGCATATCTGAAAGATGGTCCATTTTACATAAGGAATCTTATATGACTTTCAGTTTAAAAATACCACAGGATAGTAAATCTAAGACACTTGCTGTTCCATCCCGAAAAAAACAGAAAAGTGCATACTCTCCAGAAAAATGGAAGACTATCCTCGCGTGGATTTGTAAATTGATGAAGGCGTTATGGATATACCTCAATTATTTATTTCAATTTAGAATGAAGGTCGGACACCATAGAAACACTTAAAAACCAATACGCTGGAGCAAATGCATTATCTTCTAAACTTAACTGGGACGGTGTTGCATGAGATGTTAAGAGGCAGCAGCACTAATAAAGCAGCAATAAAAATGTCTTCACTTTTTTAACAAATTCTTAAAGTGAAACATAGGAAGTAATAAATTATTTTATAAAAAAATTGAATTTTGGAATTTTTGATTAATTTTGCGCAATCGAGTCTACAATAACTTCTGCTTTATTAAATCAATTCAAGATATTACGTTAATCAAGTGATATATAAATCAATTTTTTAATGTTAAAAATAGAAGCAAGCGTATAAAAACAGTAGAAAAAACTAATATCAGAGGTAAGCAAATTGCATAGCAAAACATATATGTAAAGTACGAACATTAAAAAAGTAAGAGAACTAATATTAAACGATTTTATTTTACTACTGCTTTTTACAATATTCTCCGAATTAAGGAAAAGACCAATATTTTCTAATACCTAATATCACTATTTTTCTTTTTTTCATTTAATTTTGTATCATTTTGCTAACCAAAAACTGAACTGAATGATTCATATCCTTTTTCTCTCTCTCTGCATCTTTCAGTTATGTTTAGCAAGCGCGCCAAATATAATATATATAAACCTTCCCTCGTTCAGCAGAACGAGAGAGCTGGGAAACCAGTTTGAACTCTTTCCTTTCATTACGGACGCTGTCAGATATGAATTTCTTTTTTTGATCAATGTCAAAATTTTTTCAAACATTAATTCCGGTATTAGATTTCTGTAGAATTAAACGTTATTTACGATGTTATTTTCTTTTCCAAGTAAAATCTGCAACATATGAACGTTGTGCGGACAGGGGCAATCATTTCGGGCGCTGAGGCTGAGTGGCTGAGGCCGCCGGATATTTGCCATAATCGAAATACGATCAAGAGAAAATCACTTACGAGAATATGCCTTGATCGCAAATACGAACAGGTATTTGCTGTAGTAGCAGTCAGCGTAATGGGTATAGATATAAAATTTTAACTGTCCGATGTACGATGTTAATGATACTAACATTGAACACCGCTGTCATATATGCAATAAAACCTCTTCCATAGCCAGAGCTCTTCGAACACATATCTATCATAATCACGAATGTGCCAGAAAATTCAAATGTACCCTTCGTGAGAAGGCATTTAAAAGAGCTCAACATTTAAGAGTAAGTTTTTCTCAATTCCAATTTCATGTCAGCAATCTTATATATATTCA